AACTGAAGTGAATTAATCCGATCCCAGTTTTTCCTGTAGTTTTTTTTATTTTTTTAAATTTACACTATAACAACATTTTTAACACTTTAAAGCCCGATCCAAGAAAAATAGGAAGAATATTGGATTATTTTAGTCTGAAGTCTTTCTTTGAACCCTCAACAACACATGAAGAAAAAAAAACAGAAATTTTTATTGATCAAATTAGTGTGCAATAAGTCAAAAATGTATTTTGGTGTAGTCTTCTACTGGCTGTTATCAGGTATATCTGAATGTGTACAACAGGGGTTTGAGCAAAGCTTTTACCACTGAATGATGCAAAAAGTCTCAGATCCAAAAGACTTCAGAAACCGTATCAAATATGCTACATTTGGCATTATAGGGTTAAATATGGTTTTTGAGCGGACAAAACCAAATAAGATGGTATCGAAAATCTCTAAAACCAAATCAGTTATCTTGGGATCAAGTCATTAACTTTCATCTATGCCAAAGATGAGTTTGAACTTGTCTGGGGAACCAATAGAACAGGGAGATAAAGTAAAATGATTGGGCATAACATTTGCTAACCAGTTGTCATGGGCAGATCACATTGATACCATAGTGAGGAAGATGGGTTGTGGGATCTCAAAGTTTGAGGAAATGTCTTTCTTATGTCCCTACACATATTGTAGGTGCAGGTGTTTTTAGGAACACTGTCTATTCTTTTCGACCTGTTTCCTTATATAACCAAATAGTCAGATGTAATCAGGTTCATTCTTAAGCGACAAGATCAGCCAATGGTGGTCACATGATGTCACCATGTCCAAAATCATACGTCTAAAAGAGAACAGTTATTTATCGTGCTATCAGGTACTGGAATAATTGCCCACTAAATATACGTGAACTAAATAGTAAAGTATTATTAATCATTACTTGAAAATGAATTATTTGAATTTGTCAGTTGTGAATTCCACTGTATGGAAATGAGAATTAATAGATATGGATGTAATGACTTATTCGGATTATTTCTGATGACATCTGTAAGATTGTCTGTAATGTTTAATAAAGTGATTTTTGTTTTGTCTTGTGGACTAGCCCGTCCCACTCTAGGTGACAGCTAATGGAGATCTTTTTTTTAACTCATTGACTGCCAGCCATTTTCAGAACAGAGAGTCGCTCACTGCCAGAGTTTTTTGACCATTTCTCTCATAGCGAACCATTGCGTTTGTTTTTATTTGCCTACAGTCTATGCTAATCTCCCATCAAAAGTGGCACAGCAACCTAGAGGGTCAATTTGTTACTACATACTCTGTCTGGAAGCCGATATTTCCGGAAAAACTTTAGCCGATCGTTCCCCAAAGCCACTCGCATTGAAAAACATAAAAGACGTCTATAGACGTCTTTGGCAGCCAATGAGTTAACAACAACAACAATAGACTGAGCAAAAAAGTCTGATTTGTGCCTTTTTCTCCTTCGATGAGAACGTAGCACAACTCTCCACCGTTATTGATCCTTTTACTAAAGTTCAAACAGCATGAAGCTGTTCCATTCTGAGGTGATGCTGAGCATTTCTTATGACTGTGATTGTGATTATTCCTCCAGGAGCTGAGTTTACGTAAGAAGGGCCTGGAGTGTCTGGTGTCCATCCTGAAGTGTATGGTGGAGTGGAGCAAAGACATGTATGTGAACCCCAACCTCCAGGCCAACCTGGGTGAGCAGCCGGGAACGGGGGAGGGGCCTTTTTTCCCCCCCCGCCTTCTATGGATTCTACTGTACTGTACAATGTACATATGTATTAGTACTAGGGATGGGACGGTTTCTGAAAACCGTCTGAACCGTTGGGTTCTGTCTCGGTTCGGTTCGCGTGTGTTGCGTTCGGTTCATGCTGCTCCTTTTTCTCAGAGGGAAGCGTTTACACTCCAGAGCAGAAGGTGGCGCTACTGCGCCCAAAGCCAACCACCAGTAGGAAACAAGAAGAAGAAGAAGCAGCGTAGCCGATAATAAAAACCAGACGCGCCAACAGCAGTTTCTAGGTCTGCTGTATGGGACCAGTTTGCATTTAGAGGGAAGCACATGTTGGAATTAGCCCTGTTTCCTCTCTGGCAATGCCAGAATCTCACCTACTTTTAACCTAAGACTGTCACAATAACGTATCAAATGTCAGACTGCTTTTTTATTTCAGTTTTAACCTGACTATACAAGACATAATAGATTTTCCAAACAATCAACATATACCGAACCGAACCGAAAACCGTGACCACGAAACCGTGAATCGAACCGAACCGTGGATTTTGTGAACCGTCCCACCCATAATTAGTACCCATTTTAAAAGTCGACGCAGTATGAGAATGCGGCTGTTTTTAAAAAAGAAAATGCGGACGTTAAAGGTAAACGTTGAATCTGATCTTAACTACGACAACAGGTAGTTCAACTAATTCTATACCTGCAATTTTTTTTTTTTTTTTTATGGGATAAGGTTGTCGGCTTTATGCTAAACGCTATATATTGTGATGGCACTAACGTTTGATTTACTGTAACGGTATCAGACTGTTTCTTTCATGTGTTTACTGAGTCGAGGAAAAGTTCCCCTCCACTACCCGATAAAAATGTTGCAAAAAAGGGGGGGTTCCTGCATGTGTGTGACCTAATCTCCGGCCTTTCTTAAGGTCCCCTACACCCGTTTTAAGACTAGAGGAGAT